ACGTGCAGATTAGTTTTTGGTAAAGATAGGCTCAGCCGTTTCGAAGTGCCAACAATGACAATTTTGAGAGAACGGACTGTACGATGTGAATAAAACATTCTATTTGTATTGACGAAATAAAGAATTTGTTAAATTTTTGGAAAAGCAATTTCAGAGCTTTTGGAGATCTAATGAAAAAAGTTCATTAGGCATATGCACTTTAAATTATCAGATATTTAATAGAGATTTTAATAATAACTACAAATTTTGTTCACATCTCTATCGGTTTCGTACCAATTTTTATAATGTTCAACTGCTAGACTGTGATGCCGCATCGCTTAAGCGCTTTGATATTTCGTCTTTATAATAACTGCGCGATTGCTTTGAAAAACTAGTTGATATTGGTATTTTGATTTGAGGCAAGTTACATGAACTTCCCGATATGTATAAATAATCGATTTAATCAATAGAAATAAATTAATTTATGAGCGATTAAAAGTATTCATTACACATAATTGAAATCGAACGAACACTGCATCGTTATTCCAAGTAGATTATCTAATTTTAATTTTAACAAACGTCAAAAAAAACTACTCATATTTTATCAAACTTTGATGCATTTTTAAAATAAAACTACTTGTTGTAAGGACGTAATATTTGAGTACGTTCTATAAGACTAGGATATATATCGCCAAAAAAAGTTCCAAGAATATCGGCTTAAATTTTTTTTAAGTTAACTACAAAAAAACGGCTCGTTAGATTTTCAACTAAAACTAATCAGTATCATTCCCAAATTATATCTTTCGAACAGTTTTTCATTTTTGAAAATTGATTCGGTAGACAAAAAGTTTAACACTTTTCTCCAAATTACAAAGAAATGGCTCGGCCGAACGCTGCACAAAACTGAGAAAAAAATGATCCACATCAAAATACATCGATTGGCTTTTAAATTTTTGAAATCGGTTCAGGCGTTTTTGAGCATTCGTCGATGACAAACTCCAAAAAAACGACACTAATTTTTGCAAACTTTGACGATTTTTTAAAATTAAACGATTTGTCGTAGGACCGTAATATTCTAGTATGATCTATAAGACTATGGTATCTACCGCCAAACAAAAATTTGTGAAAATCGTCGAAAAAAAATTTTTAACACCTTATTACAAGAAAACGGTCAGGCCGATCTTTACCAAAAACTAATCAGACCGATTCCCAACCAATATGTTTCGAACAGTTTTTGAATTTTTAAAATCGATTCAGAATTGCGGGCTAAAACTTGGACGAAAATTTTTTCACTATTCTGTGATTTACAGAGAAACGGTTCGGCCGATCGTCGCACAAAACTTAGAAACGCTAATCCTCATCGAGATACATCGATTGGCTTTTAAATTTTTGGAATCGGTCTGGCCGTTTTCAAGAAAACGATTTACGACAAAAAATCTGTTCACATACACGCACACGCACACATACTTTTTCCGAATTTGGTCTCATTCGATTCAGAATGGCTTGAAACGACGAGAAAACATAAAATTAGCAATTTGGATTTTTTGATGAAAACATAAACTTCTCCTTCGGGAAGTTAATAAAAATCAAAATTTTCAAAAAAAATTAAAGCATTTAAAAATCTGAAATTACGCTATGGTAAGTTCCAGCAATTTGGTGCTGGGTGCTTATAATGTGTGTGTATGCATGCTTATGCGTTACTATATTTGGTTGAATAGTTTTCATTTAATTAATTTTCAGTCATCATTTTAATTTAATGTCATCAATGAAGTTTAAACTCTCTGCCCAACAATCAGAGCAAAACTACAACCCCGGATTGCACTGCGAACAGCACGTATAACGTATATATTAGTCCTGAACCTTGGGCGCAATTGCGTAGTACTTGTTTGTAATTGCGTTCATGACTTTTCGACTCGTATCCGCGTGGACAACCGCGCTAATTAAACCCGCATACGGATAATATTTTGTTTGCTGTCGCTCGACATTTAGTGTTTAGAGGACAGTCAAGTATCACATTATTCACTAGATTTGCTTAACCAGATTCCAAATGGACTATTCGAATGGCACTGTCAAATCTCTTGACCAAAATCCTTGTACATTGTGTGATTTGATCATTTAGGTGCCATTTATTTATATAAACATAATGAAATTTGAAATATATAGAAATAATTTATAATAAATCAGATCTTTGTAGTTTATTTCATTAATAACTTCCCGTAGGATATCTATAGTAATGGGCCAAAAATCGAAAATGAACATTTTTGCATATTTTCACGTTTTGAAGGTTTCTGAATATTTTGGCATACCTCAGAAAAATGGATGTGTGTGCGTGTTTTGTATGTCCGCATTTTCTCTTTCACGTTTTTGTACGCACGGATCAACCGATATGAATGGTTCAAAAACCATTCGATTCCTATTGATAGGGTGATGTGCTGATTAGTTTTCAGTCCAGCCATTACGGAGGTACAGAGCAAAGAGTACCAAAAATAAAAAATCGAGTTTTTGAGAGAATGGAGCATCCGATTTGAATGATCTAAAGAACACTCAGTTCGTAATGATGGGGAGAAGTGGTGATTAGTTTTTGGCAAAGGCAGGTCCAGTCGTTTCAAAGATACGGAGCTAAATGTACAAGCAGTTTTTTTCAGAGAACTATGAGCATCCGATTTGAATAATTCAAAAAACTTTCTGCTTGTGTTGACGAAACAATTGCTTTTGGAAAAAAATACAATAAAAAAATTTTTGCATATCAAAAATAATTTAGATTTTAATTTTAATTCTTGCTAAATTTTTAAAGCTCACTTATATACTTTTAAATAAATAACTTTAATTTTGAAATTCAGTTTATAAAATTATTATAAACATTAGATAATGTTACGTACAGTATTTATTTATAGTAATCTATTTGAAAACATTTAATATTCCTCGAACATTTCGTCACGGTACGGGAAGTTCCAGCAACTTGCCTTAAGGCACGATGCTATACACCACTAGTTACGTATTAAATGAGATACATATTACTTAATGCTGGCCACAGCTTCGAGTTAGGACGTTGATTAGCGACCACCATTTCCATGTTGGCCATCTTGATCTGCAGTAGTGATGCAGATTTTTACTTGAGATAATAATTTAAATACAATAAATATGATTTCAAATAGTCAATTTTGATGTCAAAATGTATGAATAAATTCTTGGAGAGCATAATAAGTAAAAAAAGAGAAAGTAAGCAATGTAAATGATTTATGTAATGTAATGTAAACCATTTTTTTTACTCCATACGTTTTAACGCAGAGTTTTTCGTAAATGCAGAGTTCGAATTTGCCAATGAAAGCATCTTCTACTCCGTCTGCTTCAAAAATCACTTTAAGAGTTATTACTGGTGGTTTCAGTGTTGCGTGTTATTCTTGTAAATTGTCACATTTTTGTACAACTATAATTGTACGTTATATTTAATTATAAAAAATCTCATGAGAAAAAAAAAGGTAAACTACGAAGTCGTCTTACAGAAATACTACGTAAAGGAATGTACATCACCGACAGATTATCCAAAAAATAATTCAAATAGATAAACAAATTATATATTGCTTAATTCGGAAATATTGTATTATAACCTATTAACTATTATCAACTCATTATTTATTGATAAACGTTATCTAGTTTCTGGTGAGATTTCAAAAGTTATAATATCAATAACCTAATAGTTTGATGGCAGACTATTAGTTTATAGATATAGCACAGATTTTCTGGTTATTAAATGTAATAATTCATTATTTATCCGTGCTAATAATGCTGAAGTTGTTTACAATCGTATTATATCTATATCACTTTACATAAAATATAATTATTAGCAATCGCACAACTCTTTGAAAGCCAGTTGCATAAAGTGTATATATTCAGTCAATTTATCAATAATAATGAATATTAATGAAAAATTATGAATAATTGATTAATAAATCATAAATTATAATTCAAACTAAATTTGAATTTAAGGTTTTTTACTAATTACGTGAGGCTTAAAACGGGGAGAAGAGTTTGACAAAAGAATCACAAAGTAACATAAAGAGAAGGCTTTTAATAAGATATCACGTGTATTCATTTTTACCCGAATTTAATTATTGTTTCTTTTTTTTAACTTCCTGTAGGGTAAGTTATAGTAATCGGAAAAAAGTCGAAAATGTAAATTTTTGCATATCTTTACGTTTCAAAGGTTTCAGAACAATTTGGCATACCTCAGAAAAAATGGATGCATGTGTGTGCGTGTGTGTGTAGTATGTATGTATGTTTGGATACAATTTTTTGTCCACGATTTCGGGCGCAAAATCAATCGATTTGAATGGTTGAACATTAGACGTATGCACATCAAATTATCAGATATTTTATGATTTTATTAAAAATGAGTACTAATTTTTTTGTTACAATTCTGTTGGGTTCCGTACCAAGATTTTTCAAAAAAAAAAATTAAATTTTCAAAAATATGCAAAGTTTTATACTTCAAATATGAATTTTAAATTTACAATTCAGTTTGAAAATGTATATATTTCAAATGCGTTATTCTAATCGTACGAAATATATTCCAGATGGATTTATTCGGCACCTTTTGCTAATGTAATCTTTCTCAAGTGTTTTGAGAGATGATTCGTCACTGTATATCTTAGAAACGATAAAATATATAGTGATTATAATTATCTATTTGAAAATGTTAACAATCGTTAATAATCATTGATGAATATTTATTGATTACTGATTTTTTTCCCTCGAATATTTAATTATGGTACGGGAAGATCCAGCAATTTGCTTTAAGGCACGATGCCATGCACTAGTTTTAAATCACGATTGTGTGGTAGATTTCATGGGTAATTATAGACCACATATGACAAAGGAGTGGGGGTGATGGTTTAAAATGCTTGAAAAAGACCACGCGTTTAATGGGCAGTCCCCAACTTGCTTACGATTAACTAATTGAATCATATATTAGTCTCAGTATCATGTTGAATACCATATGAGAAAAATTCAATTTATTTCAGAGTACATGGCGATGCAGTGTGTGTCGTCGAAAAATAGCATCGCGTGCATGTGCCATTCCCCAGGATTCTACAGACTCATTGTTAGATGTACCTGTCTTGGAAGGACTCCAACGTAGACACAGCGACGTAAAACTCGGTCCAAGTACCGGCATGGGGCTTGGAGTCCCAGGAGGTGGCGGTTTAGCTCCGCCGAGGTCGCCGGAACTTCGTAGGCATTCTGATGTATCACCTGCCTCCTTGAAGGAACTAGAAAAGGTACGTAAATATGATAAATTGAACAACAATATATCAAACCTAATGTATTTTAACTATATGATAAAGTGATGAATTCATAGACATTATACTACAAACTATATGTATAGACTTATACATGTAGTATAATGTAGCCTATGGATGAATCTTGTTATATTATATTCATATTGCTAACTAGTTTTGAATCGTGTGTAAACAAAAGTTCAATGTAATCATTGTTTTAGACACAGAATTAAAATATTATGAAAACTTAAAAAAAATGAAGAAGTTGATTTAAAAAAATGATTTTGAAATACGTTTATTTTTTTAAATATGAAAAGTTGAAAGAAATTTGAAAATTCTTATTTAGATTAAGAGAAAATATTAAAAAGGGATTATAGTTTTAAGTTTCTCAGTAATACTATGTAATTGTTAAATAATTTTTATTTCATTGTTGAACTCTTCTAAATTAGGTAAATAGTGAATATTTAAATTTTAGAAATTTAATGCGAATATAGGAATGCTATCTGATGAAAATATCTTGATTGATTTTCAATTTTAAGGACACGCTCTTTAAGAAGTAAATATTTTTAATAAAATGAGTTTTAATACATATATGAATTGGAATAATATAAAAGCTTTACATTTGTGCCGGTTTAACATAAATATATCATAACATGTTTTTTTTGGTTTACTGTTCATAGCAAACTATACATAGTACATTCAGCTATATATTATAACATGTAAACTTTGAATAAGAATTTGATTATGTAATAAACATTTATAAAAAAATATAATCGAGAAATACAGTTTCAATTATTTTACGATATAAATCTATAAGATTTTCTTCATTATTTTTGATAATAGAATTAGAGCACGAATTAAATTGTTCAGTATGTGAACTACGAGATTGCTGACATATTTGCATTTATTAACTTCCCGAAGGAAAAGTTTATGTTTTCATCAAAAAATCCGATTCGCTAATTTTTTGTTTTCTCGACGTTTCTGAATCGAATGAGACCAAATTTGGAAAAAGTATGTGTGTGTGTGTGCGTGTGCACCAACAGATTTTTTGCCGTAAATCTGCGTTTTCTCAAAAACGGCTGGACCGATTTCAAAAATTTAAAAGCCATTTGACGTATCTCGATGAGGACTATTGTTTGTCAGTTTTGTGCGACGATCGGCCTGATTATTTGTGAAAAGTTTTTCGTCCATGTTTTAGCCCGCAATTCTGAATCGATTTTGAAAATTCAAAAATCGTTCGAAAGATATTGGTTGGGAATCGACCTGATTATTTTTGGTAGAGATCGGCCGAGCCGTTTCCTTGTAATAAGGTGTTAAATTTTTTTTTGTCGATTTTTATTATTATTTTTTTGACGGTAGGTACCATAGTCTTCTAGATCATACTAAAATATTACGGTGCTACGACAACTCGTTTAGCTTTAAAAATTCGTCAAAGTTTGCAAAAATTAGTATGGTCTTTTTGGCATTTATCAAAATTAGAACTTTCATCGACGTTTGTTCAAAAACGCCTGAACCGATTTCAGAAATTTAAAAACCATTTGATGTATCTCGATGAGGATTATCGTTTTTCAGTTTTGTGCGACGATCGGCCGAGCCGTTTCTTTGTAATTTGAAAAAAAAAGTGTTGAACCTTTCGTCCACATTTAAGCTCATACTACCGAACCGATTTTAAAAAATCAAAAACTGTTCGAAAGATATTAGTTGGGAATGATACTGATTAGTTTTAGGTGAAAATCTACCGAACTGTTTTCTTGTAATTAACTGTCGAAAAAAAAATTTAGGCCGATTTTCATGGAACTTTTTTGGGCGATATATATCACGGTCTTATAGAACTTACTGAAATATTACGGGCTTACTACAAGTAGTTTAATTTTAAAAATTCATCAAAGTTTGAGGAAATGAGTAGTTCTTTTGACATTTGTTAAAATTCAAATTAGATGATTTACCTGGTATAACGATAAATGCTTGGTCTTATTGAACATACTAAACAAATAAGGTCCTACAAAAAACTGGCTCAATTAATAAAATTATTGATTTTTGAAAATTTGCTTTTAAAAAATACTCTGACCGGGTTGACCAGTTCGATTTTCAATAATGTGTAATAAATCCACTTCGAATACTTTTAACTACTCATTAATTAAGTCTATCATGAATTAAGTCGATTATTTACACAAATCGGGAAGTTTATGTAATTTGCCTCAAGGCAAAATACCAATACCAACTAGTTTTAACTTTTAATTCAAGTAGTTTCTGAGTATACTCAATGCATATTATATAGGGTGTATTACCTCGTCGAGAGGATCTACAAGTGGTTTAGTTGTGCCGATGCTTTTATAGTAGTAAAAATCGCAAGAAATTGAATGTATATTTTAACTAATTTATGTGCCACTGTGTATTATATGTCAATTTAAAACATCTATGGCTTTTTTCGCAAAGTTAGATGTTTGGAGAGCGCAATTTGGGTATTTGAAAAATATTATTCATATTACAATATTATTTGAAACGATACAAAATTGAATGTCGATTTTTCAGAGCAATATAAAGACAATCTTTAGTAAATTTAAATTTTTACTATTATATGTTGAAACTACGGCTTTAATTGAATATGTATTTTAATTTATTTGACTCAACTTTGATTTTTTTCAATTTGCAAACATATACGGTGTAATAATTGCTAAAATAAGAAGGTATATTAATTGTACTTTCCATCTTTAAGAAATTCCAAAAAAATCGGATTTTGTTTTATATATAATTCTATTCATATTATTCATTAATTTTAGAAGGGTACACATTTTAAAAATTTTAATATGTAATCAACTTCGATTTATAGCTATTTTTAATTTAATTTAAATTTTATAAAAATTCAAGCTATAAATTTAAAGAAAAATTAACATCTTTACAAAATCAAAGGAATCGAATGATTTAAATGAATCGAAATTTCAAAAGAATTTTTTGAATGATTTTGATATTTTTTGCTGATCTTATATTTTAATTTATTTGAAAACTTTTTCATTTATTTTAGAATGGAAAATTCCGTCAATTTGCGTCAGTAACTGCCCTACAGCAGCAGTTACGTTATGTTTCCCCATTTTCCTTGTTTACATTTCACAAATTATGTGCTTCCTTTCTCCGCACACCAAGTCTCAAGATTTGATACCACGTGTTTTTTTTTCACATAAAAAACCATATACATTATTGTTTGTCATAGCATTGCATTTGCATTATTTCTTCTCTGTTATTAAGCAGCACTGTTTTATTTTTTACTCCGTTTCTCTTCGCAATATGGTGAGAAATATTTACAACTTTGTAGTTTTTCATTATTTTTTCTCTTCAAATAGTTTGTCGGATTTTCTTTCAGAGTCCATAGCACTCAACTATACTCAAGAACTGCTCCAAATGTAGAAGTAAATTTCAACTAGTTAGTCCAGTTTTATTTTACATCATAGTTGCTTTGTCACTTCTATTTCTTGACTTTACAAAATATACTGTGAAAATTTGAGCACTTTGAATTTTTCAAAAATGCAAAGCCCCTAGTTTCATGCTATATTTTCTGTTTTATTGCAATTTACTCGCCAGGATTTAGGACAATTGAAATGCAATTTTTACTTCCGTCATTCTTAGCAGCATGGCAATTTACACCGTTTAACTGTTTAAATTTGTAACGCCAAAAATGATCTAATGAGTGCATTATTGAGATTTTATGGATAGCTAATATTATTAATGATTTTGTTTTTTCAGCCTAAAGCTCCCCATTTTTTAAAAAATGTTTTTAATTCATAAATGTATCAGGATCTTCAAATTATTGCTACCAAGTTTTTTTAAATAAACTCTCACTAAAAATAAAAATAGTTATAGATGTTTACTTTTGCGTGTACACTGTACATAGAAAGACTCATTATTTTTTTCCTTGGAAGAATCTTTCATTGTCCCTCAGCAGCAAAGTTTTTTGAAATTCTATTATTGACGTATCATTTCATTAAGAGTTATGTTTAGTGATTATATTTATATATAATCACTTTATAATTAAGATAATTTTATATAGGGTATATTGGAGTTTAAAAGTCCGCGGGTAAAAAGATCCACCACCGACATCTTAAAAACAAGTAACGTTAGGAATTTAACAACCATATTTGAAAGTAATTTTCTAATTAATTTTTTAATTTTATTAATTTAATTAATTAATTTTTAATTTAATTTTTTCGACGTCGCTGTCGGGAAATGTTCGAAAATCTATAACAAAAGTATATTCTTCCGTTGTTAGTTTTATTGTTTCTTGTACTCTTTAGTTTACGCGACCTTATTAAAATTTTTAGGTCTACGTTATTCAGATGTCTCATAAGATGTATTGTTATTTTTTAGTTAGATTCAACAGTGTTTTTTATATCACCTGTATAACAGCTTACTTATTATATCACATTCAAATCATAATTATTTGTGTATCATATTTTCAACAAAATTCCCCACTCACAAAATTCCTCATATTATTATTATCTTAGATAAATTTATTTTTATTTGCTTTTACATTTCATTCAATAGCATCAAGTCGAGGTATGACTTTATATCATCTGAAGTATAAAACCTTTTGTGTGTCTCTATACCTCAATTTACAACAGCATAGCTTTTCGATGAATGCCTATAACCTGAAAAATGTTCCATAAATAAGAACATCTGACGTCGAAAATCCATGAATGAAAACGAATTATGTTTATACCTATATCATAAAGAATATTATATTGAATTCCTGGAGCAGCCATATTCTCATGCGCCTGTATGGTGGTTGATATAAACACGTAAAGAGGTCATGAGTTCATGAATATAGACAGCATTTTATCTTGAGATATTTTATCATCTATAAATTTAGTAATAATATTTTGAGTTTGATCATGTAATAGACAATAATAAAAAATGTAAAGGAACTGTTCGTTGGGAGTTTAACATCAACATTTTTAATAAAACGTGATTTGTTTGATGATGGTATAGAATAGGGCGGGGTACATAGGTCCAATTTGATTTTGATCGATTATATTGTGAAAACCAAACCAATTATATTACAACAAATAACACATATCAAACAAACAACTATCTGACTATGTTCAGTAAAACTCAGATAAATTGTCATTGTAGAAATATGTTTTTTTGCTGTTTTTCAAAATTTTGCTTGTGATCTTTTTCAAAGGGATTTTAAGGAGATTTTACGAAATAATAGCTTCATTGGTATATTTTTCATAGAAATAATAATGTATATATATACTTGAATAAGTATTTCGTCAGAAATATTCATCAGCAGGGTTGTACAACGTTTGATATATATTATTAAATAAATGGTATTATGTAGTTTTTATCCTCTTTTAATAAAATTCAGAATACGAATAAGTTTTTTTCTGACATATAAGTACAATGTTTTTTATCAAATTATGCTATGCTTGACGTTTTCAATAAACAAATTAATTGTATGCATATATTATTTGTCTGCGATACGGAAAGTACGAGCAATTTGCTTTTATCGCATACTATTATGTCGCGCTTTTCCTTATGTTATAATTCTAAGCATATATCTGAAATATTTGCTTGTATGATTAGATATATTGATTTACTCCAAATATTATTGAAAATTATTCGCACGAATGAGCATGCATCTGCTTGTATATTCGTCACCGTAGCGTGTATAGTTTGCTTAAATATGCATTAATCACATAATATTAACGATACAACTCATTGAATTTAATCTGGTCGATTGCTTTTCTCTGCAGGTAGTTGCATTATTGATTACTTGCAATCAATACTTAGTCAAAAACTGTTAAAAAATTTAGATAGTTTCTAATTAGAATTTGATAAAAGTGATATTGCACAAAAATTTTATAAATACATTTTCTGGGCTTCTTAATGACCTTGTGGTAAGAGTTTTGGTCTTGCAGCCTAAGGAACTAGGTTTGATAACCATCTCGAACATCATCATACCAATATTTATATTTGTTTTGCAGGATATAGACCAAAACTAGCTGTAAGTGGAATTCTGTCTTAAGGCAATTAGGGCATCGTGCCTTGAGGCAAATTGCTGGAACTTCCCGTACCATAACGAGATGATCGAGGAATATTAAATGTTTTAAAATAATATTGTAACATTGTCTAATATTTATAAAAATTATTAAATTACATAAACTGAATTGGAAAGTTGAAATTATTTGTTTAAGGTATATTAGAACAGAATTAAAATAGAAATCTGAATTATTTTCGATATACAAAAATAAATTTAAAAAAAAAATTTTGAAAAAAAAGTTTCAAATTTTTTTTTCCAATATCAATTATTTTGTTAAAAAAAGTAGAAAGTTCTTTGAATCATTCAAATCGGACGCTTAGTTCCCTCAAAAACTACCATTTTTTGCACATTTAGCTCTGTATCTCCGAAACCGCTGAACTTGCCTCTGCCATAAACTAATCACGACTTCTCCCCGTCATTACAAATTGAATGTTTTTTGAATCATTCAAATCAGATGCTCCGTTCTCTCAAAAACTCAATTTTTAGTTTCTGCACTCTTTGCTCTTTATCTCCGTAACTGCTGGACCTGCCTTTGCCAAAACCTAATTAGCACATCTCCCTATCGATAGGAATCGAATGTTTTTTGAACCATTCAAATCGGTCGATTTCGATTTTTTGACGATTACAATAAATTACCCTACGGGAAGTTAAAAATATGTTTACAAGTGAAAATAGTCCCTCTCTCAGTACCATTATTTAATAAATTAATATGTTTGAGTAAGGATATTTAGTTACGAAGTATCCTCATAATAGCTCACTAGACTTAAGTTTTGAACTAGTAACATATCCAGTGGCATTTAGCTTTATATATTAAGGATAGTTATTACACTAGCTATTACTATTATTACTGTAAACTGTATCATAATGCCAAGCTTAATCATATTTGTCGAAAAATATCAGCAATTACTTACGAATAAACGGCACGAACTATTTTTACAAAAAGCTAATCAGAACGATTACCATTGTCTATCGAACTATTACTGATGAAAAAAACATTGCATGTTTCGGTAGATTCTAAAGAAACTAGCTAGTCCTTAACGAGTTTAATCAAATTGCTATTAAATTTTTGAAATATGTGCTGTCGTTTTCAAGAAAATATCAAGCAAAGGTCAAATATTGATTGAAACTAAACTTTAAAATTGCATATAGTGTTTATGATTTTTTTGGCTAATATAATACAATGCACATCAATGCTTAAAATATAACGCTTATTTTTGCAAGGGTTTTTAGTAAACAATACAAGCCAGAATAAATGAAAAGAATAATATAGTAATAAAAATTCAAATTAAATAACTTCTAATAGGTATTAAGTTTTTGTGAAAAAAATAAGTACATATTAGCACGAAATACGGAAATATATTTTTATTGTCTGAAATAGTTGTGGAGCATATTGTATATATAATTTATAGAAATTTTGTACACAAATATTTGTTTAGAGTAGCGTGGAGCACAAAGGTCCAGTTTGACTTTGAACAATTATATTGTGAAAACTAAACCAATTATATCATAACAAATAACACATATCAAACAATCATTTAGCTATGTTCAGTAAAACATTATAGAAATGTGTTTTGCAAAAAAAATTGTCACCTGGTCCTTTTCACCCCAATGACGGGGTAAACTGGGACGGCTAGAGGGCAAATGGAACCAATTACTTTCATTTTTTTATTTTTATTTTAAAGGATTTTTACGAAATAATAGCTACATTATTCAACTAATGCAAAATGCAAAAATCACGGTACATTTTTACAGAGATAACATGTTATCTCTGTAAAATCACTTTAAAATTAAAAATAAAGGAAATAAAGTAATCGGATCTATATATTTTGTTGGAATAACTTCTCTCTTGTAAAATTTCTTTTGTTAACTTAATTTAGTTTTTTATTTACTATTATTCATTTTTTACAAATTTGCTAGGGTAAAGGTTTAGCTGGTTCCTTTTACCCCACTCACATGTAACATTTATTAGAGCTTATAAAACTGTTGAACTTGATGTAAAAATTAACAAAGCAACTTATAAAACAATTAAATAACGTATAATTAAAAAATTAAGGTTTCGTAAATAACGGTTATCACAACCAAAAAAACTAAACGAAAGAAAATACTTTTGTTATGGATTTTCAAACATTCCCGTTTATTTTCCGATAGCACCAACGTCATAAGAATCGAGGTGATGCCAGCTTATACATCTTTTTTTATTCTTCTTTCAAATATTATTAAACCCTACCCTACACATATGAAGGCTATAAACCACTTTCGAAATAATATTTTAACGTGTAATAAGTTATTATGTATTTTCTGTATAATATGATTAATATTCAAGAATGTAAGATGTTACCTAAATTTATCAATATAACTACTAATGCAATCAATCAAAATTCATATGGAATTCATATGGATGGATTATGATATACACTTGAAACAATATTGGAACTTTTTATGTTTATTATTAATTATATTTGAAAAAATCTAATTTATTTTTTATAAAATTTATTATCAAATTCAAAGACAGCAATCGTATGATATTCACATATGTTGCAATATCGATTATTATCGTCGTTCCAATGCTGAGCACTCTTTATACAACCAGTTGAATCCGTAGTCTTGGATAGAAGCCAAGATTTTTATTGTGCTCAGCGCGCAGCAAAAAAACCCACTGGGATTATGGAACATAGGAAATACAAATTGAATTGAGCTCGTAATATATTTCTATCTCCACTTACTTTTCCTCACTACATTTCTTCTCTCGATAATAAGTTGCGATAAAACATATTTTATTTTTGAAGCAAATATATTCGAAATATTAATTCAAAACACTTTTAAATAATCAAGAGCGTTCGTGGTATGATATATTTAAAAGATACTGAATAGTTTTCTACTTCTCATTTACAAAATAGTAACTTAATGTAGCTATGACTTTTTTCTTTGAGTTATAGCCCCTGAATTTTGAGAGATATGTATCATTTTAAATCTTATGAAAATTCATGTTTATGCAGTATCATTTTATTGCTGCAGAATCCAGAAATATACTAATAAGTCGTGCAGTCTTTTTATTAATCGCCTTAAACTTCTAAATTAATTTCTCGCAGATTGAATAACAAATCGATGATAAAATGTTAATGGTTTTGGGTAATTCGAATACAGTGAATACTTTTTTTAATGGGCCCACTGATTTTTTGTCAGTTACGAAGTTAGTTGGAAAAAAAATCTAAGAATTGACCTTTGAAGATTGCCATATTTGACCTTTCTAAGAAGACCTTTTTCATGCAACTCAAAATATAAGATTTATCTAGATTTGTGTGCCACAAATTTATTTTCATACGTTAAGTAGCAATGTAGATCTTTTAAAATGTTCAACCTAGAGGCTTGTAAGATTTACTCAGATCAAATATGGCAATTATATTTATAAAACTGTCAAACTTCATTTTAAAATATATTAAATTTAATTTTGAAGTAATGAAGTATAAGATCTTGCATAAACTCTCTATACAGAGTTTCTTTCAAGTACATGAGTGATTCCTTACAGTAATTTTAAATTAAATGATAAATTTTAAAATAAATAATAAAAAATTGTTTTTATGATTCTCAAAAAAAATTAAAGAGGGTTGAGCGGGGCAATTTATATTTGAGCAATTATATTGTAAAATCTAAAAACCAAACCAATTATGTCACAACAAATAACACAAACAAACAAGTATCTGACTATGTTCAGTAAAACTCTCTGCTAAATCATCATTGTAGAATTGCATTTTATTTGCTGTTTTTTTTTGTAGTTTGTCACCTGGCTCTTACCTCATATAGGTAAAATGAGACAGCCAAGGGGAGAACAGATTCAAGTATTTCAAAATAATAAATACTATTTAAGAATGCAATAAAAATCCGTCTCTTTCAAAGTATTATAGTAACTTTTCAAATCAGAATTACTGTGTAAAAACTTTATTATTTGACTATAGGTAACATTTTATCTTATATTTTTGGATTTATATGTATTATCAACTTTCAAAGTAATTATAAAATTTCGTTCAAGTTTCTTCATAATTATTTAATAATAATTAGCACCTATTTCAGGCCGTCAAGACGTTAATTTTCAGGTTTTTTGTTAATTTTTGTAAAATTGTAAATAAAAATTCAAAATTATGAATGTGAAAGGGTAATTTAACCCGCCTTTTTCATATGAGCATACTAGTTGTATCTAATATTTATTGGTTTTAGAAAAACCCGGGTCACAAAATGGTATCTTCAAAATTAGTGGAATCAATATCTTCAAAATTAAAATCGTAGTTTTTATATTTTCATTTCATTTTTCCGGGCTATTTTTATATTTTCAAATTACTTATATATTTGAATGTACATTCTTTATACTTATACTATCCATTTTGTAGATGCTAATATTACACCTACAGTTTTCTGAGAAACATGAATATCAAATAACTCTTGTCGCATGCTATACATTCAGCATCTTATGGCAAGAATCTTTTGTCATTTCTCATATTCAATTTGCATAAATTTATATTTTTCACAATAAAAGTAAATGTTAAATTCAATATTAAAATAGAAAATAAATGTAATGAAAAAAATTTATTATCAAATTCTTTATAGATTTAAAAAGCAAAAGTTGTAGCAATGAAACAGTTCACACACAAAACGACGCAATAAAGCAGAAGTAGAATAAAATCAATATCTTTTATGGCACTATAAAATGTTATACTTGCAATCTAGACGCAAATTTTGACATAAACTAGTACTTACATCTACAATGGATCATTTTTCTCTCTTTTACAAATAGCTCAAGGGATCAGGAGCCAAGTCACCAGGCGGCGACCTCGACTGGCGCAACAGGTCCGGAATGCGAAGTGGGGCATGTAGTCGTTCGAATTCACCGCCTAGACGCGGCGAGGAGTTTATGGCTAATATACCGTCAATCCAACGAACTCCCGCTTCTCGTAGACAATCAGTGCGAATAACGAAGCAGCACAGTTACGATGAGGAACTTAAAAGCGCTGGAGGTGCAGGAGGACAGACGGCTGGCGGTTTGCCGGGTGGACGAGATAGTGAAGGAGGCACAGGACTTGGATTGCCTGCGCCCATACCTAGAAGGTTTGATAATTTATGTTTTTATTGAATGTATTTACTAATGTTGTGACGGATAGGGGTTGATAGCCCTCTTCTCGGGGATTGCAACGACTTCCACATATTACATCTTAGCGTTGCAACCCCATTACGAAAGGGTTACTCCAACTCCTTAACTCGACTTCTATAAACACCCTGTAATTACCTATGGAAACTAAACCAACTAACTACGCGAATGAAACAAAATGTACTTTTGACTTATTTAATATTACTTTGGTATTAAACCAAACTTGCGTACAGTCATGTCCTCTGCCTAAACTCTAATTCACAATCTATAAACCGATTAACCGGATTAACATAAACGGAGTATTGGAACAGAGGGACTTATAAACAATAATGTATCTGACCTTTGCTGGAACAGGTTTTTCTCTCCTGGCACAATACACACACCACTATACACTAAGCGGGTCTAAGGGCTCGCGCCCGGACCCGACCAACCTCCTCAGAGGATGTTACATTTCTTAATGATCTTTTCAACCCACGACTTGGACCTTCAATTGTTGTTACAATATGGTTAATTCAATCAAAATATTTGGATGTGATTTTCACTTCTTTTATCATTTTTGGATTTTTTACATAGGGGGTAGGATAAGTTTTACCCACGTAGTGTAAATCTTCAAAATAGAAAATATTTGTAGATATTTTTACGTTTACTTTATACACGGGTCATCAAAATTCATTATAGATGTATGGGTTCTTCAGCAAAGTATCTCATTTTGACCCATACAAATCGACCCGCTTTAATATTCATACAAACATACTACATCTTTTTTCCTTTGGACCCCATCAACTATCGAACTATGTTTTTTACTATTCTTCTAAAATTGGTCTTCTGTCCCCTTATAAAATATTTAAATAACGTGTATCTAATAATTATATGCAGGTATCATAAACTAAATGCAAGCGCTCAAAACCAAAAAAACTACAAAACAAGAATTGTTTAGTTGATAGCGACTGATTACATATCTTTAGTCTTTTAATCTGAAATAGTATTATTAACACATTCTATACCTAGCTTGTTTTTGAGTTATTGATGGTATATCTTTTTACCCTGCCTTTAGGTTATATCGGGTCTTTAGGTTTCGCCCTATCCTAGTAATAATATTTTCATATTTTCAAGTTGCGAATCTATATATATATATATATATATATAACTTGTAGAATACATTCCAAAAATACTTGATATTTACTATACCAAATATTTAATCTAACCCTTTTGCATGGAACACTCGAGTTTTACTTAACAATTTTAGAAGAAAGTGTCAATTTAGATGCATAACCAATCTTTTTGTCTGCCCTTTTCAAGACATACATTTATACATACAAAAAAATAGCAAGTGTAAATACTTTTTATTAACTATTAAGCTATTTACAATCTCACAAGAATTGTGATATGTTAGTTAATGAAATCACTTTGTACAAACGATTTTCATTATATAAAATCTTGATTGAAAATTTAAGTTATTTGAACTAATTTTTACCTGATACAGATATCCGTACCAATATTGAAAGTACATGATATTTTCAGAAATATTTGTAAGAATATATATCTTTATAAAGTTTTTTTACAATAAAATATAAGAATGCGTTATATAAAAATTCATTTCAATTGTTTTATAACTTCATAATTGCAGCATCATCTCTATTGAAAACTGGAAATTTCTTAACAATTTACTAAGAAGCAAAACGTCGGATCTGTCATTTCTATAAATTCTTGCAAACAACTGAACCGCAAATATACTGTGCGGAGGTTGAAGTTCTTCTATCATAACTTTGCGGCTTCAATTAATTAACTCTCAATGTATAAATATACGTTGAATGAAAGTTTTCAAGTGAAGACGCTGCTGAGCTATCCCAGAATAACTTTATGTTGAAAGTAGAATTTGTAAATCCTAATTGAAGATTATAAAATGTGAGAAATGAAATGACTTCAAGACGATGTTATATGTTAATTTATATATATATATATATACATATATATATATATATATATATATATATGTATATATTTGACTCACTAGCTATATTTCATTATCGCCTTAACTTAAATATCCCAAACTGGTCTATAACACAGGCCTACAATTTTTTTTGTTTGGTGCATCAAACGTTAGAGCTGATTGTTATAGTATTTTTTGCGCTGATATCAAATCTGCAAACCATTTATGCGTATCAGCTCTAGTTTTGAACTTGGAAAGAAGTTGCCGAAACCAGGTCCATTGTAGGTCGTCACGGAAAAGGCCGAATGGGTCTTGTAAGTTTGTATGTACGAGTAGCCATATCTCATTAAAATAACATTCTGAATTGTATTGCTATTTTATACTTTCATTCCTTATATATCATATACAGTAGAACCTCGATTATCCGGACCTCGGTTATACGGATTCGCGATTATCCGGACATAATCGCGTCTGAACTTGTATATTTCGACCGCGCCGCTGTTTCGCTGCCCCGCGCTGCATTATCGCTTTATGTAGTTTGTTTGCAATTTTACTAGTGTGTTCTGACGTGCATATATACATTTTTAAAGGGTGGTGTTATCCCTTAAAAATAAAATAAATATTATAGAATCATTAAAAAAGGCGAAACCGGCCGTAAATTAGCTGATAGGTATGGTGTAGGTACATCCACTATAAGCGATATCAAAAAGAATGCCGATTCAATTTTGTCTTTTCGTACACGTGAAGAGGGGAGTGAAAATCGGAAAATGATGAAGACCGATTTTTGATTATCCGGATGCCCATCGACAACAATTAGTCCGGATAATCGAGGTTCTACTGTATATCATATCTTGAAAACTAAAGCTCATAGAAAAAAAACAATGTCATTTTTGAAATCAGCGCCCCAAATATACTTAAAAACAGCATTAAAATCGTTTGCACCATTTTCTCTGTTGGCCTGTGTAATATTTGCTTTATCAAAATCAATGCAATTATTTAATATTTTAATTTTACTATTATTTTACTTTTTAACTTCCCGTAGGGTAAGTTATTGTAATGGGCCGAAAATCGGAATTGAAAATTTTTACATTTCTCGACGCTTTGAAGGTTTCTGAACGTTTTGGCATACCTCAGAAAAAATGGATGTGTGTGTGTGTGTGTGCGTGTGTGTATGTATGTGTGGATACAAATTTCCAGTCACGTTTTAGGGCGCACGGATCAACCGATTCAAATGGTTCAAAAAACATTCGATTCCTATTGATAAGGAAAAGAGCTGATTAGTTTTTGGCAAAGGCAGGTCCAGCCGTTTCGGAGATACAGAGCAAAGAGTGCAGAAAATAGAAATCGAATTTTTGAGAGAACGGAGTATCCGATTTGAATGATCTAAAAAACATTCAATTAGTAATGATTGGGAGAAGTGTTTATTAGTTTTTGGAAAAGGCAGGCCCAGCCATTTCGAAGATACGGAGCTAAATATGTAAAAAATGGCAGTTTTTGAGAGAACTAAGCGTCCGATTTAAATGATTCAAAGAACTTTTTGCTTGTCTTAACAAAATAATTTATTTTGGAAAAAAAAATTTTGTTTCATTTTTTTTTTTTTTTTTGTATATCGAAAATATTTCAGATTTTATTTTATTATTTTATATTAGACAATGATATAATATTTATAATAATCTATTTGAAAACATTCAGTATTCAACGGGAAGTTCCGTTGTTGTTGTTTGTTGAATAATTTATACAATTTTCAGAAAGCTTATTGTATAATACTACACGTATCATACTCTGCAAATCATTTTAAGGCGCTCAAATTTTGGAACAATTTTGTGTATTGTAACTAGTTTGCAAGTTTATATGTGCAGTTGCTTGAATCTTACCTAGAGCTTTCCTGATCACGACATGGCGTTGAATAAATTAACTAATCAAGAATCTGTTGATACATTATTACTCCATAAACCACCCTGTAGTTACCGCTAGTGATACATCATAGGCTATAGTAATACTGTCGGTGATCTGACGTTCTAGTATAATTATAGAATGAATTGCTAGATACTTTCAACAGAACAACTGAAAACAGGTATAAGTTTTTTTAATGAAAAAAATCAGAATTTTTTTTCTGAAAAATAACTTTAGTTTTTCTATGAAGTATTTCTATGAGAATGAAAATGAGAAATTAAAAATTACATAATTTTGCTAGTGTATTTTAATCAAATTCAGTTCAGTGCTAGATGGAATCATTGGAACTAAATGTAAGCCAAATGTATTAACAAAAATCATGCCATTTCTTGGTTTTTATTTTTATAGTCCAGTCATTTGGTGCAAAAAAAGGCTGTTGCCGGTACAGTACTCCGGGAATTCTGAAAATTGGTAATCTCATAGATTTCGAGGTGCTCTTTACGAAAATCAACTTTGCCACCTCAAATTTGAGCGGCAAGTTGCCGCCATATTGGAAAAATGGCGTCAAACAACAGCTTTTTTAAAATATCTCCTTGTTGGCTGATTCTGCGATAAAAGTATCTATGTACGAGTTAAACTAGATAAAATTTCCTACAATTCCTTAGAAAACCGTTTTTTTGTAAAATTGATAGTTTGAGAGTACTGCCGCCTCAAAGTCTTTGCTGCTCTCGCCGTAGTATCAAATCTCTCCATTAATGACAGCACCTCGAACTTGACCACATTCTCTCTAATAATTAATATTTTCAATGTTAAATTGCGAGTAAGATCTAGAAATAAAATTACTATTACTCAAATTTTCAAATAATAAAATTATCAAGAAATTGCCAATTCCTTAACAACATCATAATATTAAATTAAAATTACTGAATTACAATAAAATAATAATCATCGTTAAATTTTACTATTCATTATTATCACGATAATTTAGCAGCTATTAATTATAATCATTCGTAAACCATAAATTAATTTTGATGCTTCAGCACGCCATTCAAATTAGTCTTGTTTGTATTTGTGAGTTAATGCGCTCATCAATTCGTGAAGTGCCCCATAAATCTATGACCTGGAATTATATATATTATAGTTAAAACTATATAATTTTTTTTGACAAATATAGCGTTTCCAGCAATGCAATATAAGTATATGTATTATGTATACCAGTTCTCGATATACAAAAAAATTTTTTTGTTTGAAAAAAAAAGTTGAAACAAATTTTGTTTCCAAAATCAATTATTTTGTTAAGACAAGCAGAAAGTTATTTGAATCATTTAAATCGGACACTTAGTTCTCTCAAAAACTGCCATTATTCACACATATAGCTCCGTATCTTCGAAATGGCTGGGCCTGCCTTTGCCAAAAATTAATAAACACTTTTCCCAATCATTACTAATTGAATGTTTTTTAGATCATTCAAATCGGATGCTCCGTTCTGTCAAAAACTTGATTTCTATTTTCTGCACTTTTTGCTCTTCATCTCAGTAACTGCTGGACCTGCCTTTGCCAAAAACTAATCAGTTTATCTCCCTATCAATAGGAATCGAATGCTTTTTAAACCATTCAAATCGGTTGATCCGTGCGCCCGAAAACGTGACTGGAAATTTGTATCCATACATACATACACACACACATCCATTTTTTTCTGAGGTATGCCAAAATATTCAGAAACCTTCAAAACGTCGAGAAATGTAAAAATTTTCAATTTCGATTTTCGGCCCATTACAATAACTTACCCTACGGGAAGTTAATAATACATCACATGCACTCACAGCTAAACTATTTTTCTATCACCATATGGCTTATAAGGGTATATGGCGCATTGAAATCCTTAAAAAAATTGTAGGAAAAATATTACGATTTTGGGTCACCATACGTTAAGAACGATAATAGACGAAATAAACCATATAATAATAATTGTACGTAATGTAGATTAGAGTTCATAATTTTAATCACCAAAAGGTTTTCGAAGCTGATCATGTGTCCGTAGTAAAAAGGTAGATTAGCAACCGCTAGTCAGCTTAATAAGCATCAATAGTGATTTTCACTTGAGATTATAGATCTCTCATATATCAAGTGAAAATAGACTTTCGTGGCTTTCCCGTCATATATAATCCCATTCCAAACGAATCTCGTTATTTGTTCACATTAACTCTGAAACCTAAAACTATCTAAAACTTTATTTAAACATTTTTCGCTTTCAATAACACACATTCCTTGAAATGTTTAACCATTCAACATATATAAACTAATTGTAAACAATGACTGAATTTTGATATTTTTTGTCTAGAAAACACTATACATTTCATAATCTATATTTTAACACGGACTTTTAACGTGAACTCAATCACAAAACATATATAAACATTATTAATTAATAATTAATAATTGATTAATTAAAAATCTTTTTTTAACTTCCCGTAGGGTGTATGTGTGTGTACAGATACAAATTTTTGTCGACGATTTCGGGAACACCGATCAACCGATTTGAATAATTCAAAAAACATTCGGTTCGTATTGATAAGGAGATGAGCTGATAAGTTTTTGGCGAAAGCAGGTTTAGCCGTTCCAGCTAACTAAGGAGATGAGCTGATCAGTTTTTAGCGAAGGCAGGTTTAGCCGTTCTAAAGATACGGGGCAAAAGTGCAAAAACGGTAACTCAGTATTTAAGAGAACGGAATGTCCGCATTTAATAATTCAAAAAACATTATACTTTTATTGACAAGATAAACAACTGATTAAATTTTTGGGGAGGCAGGTCTAGCTGTTATAGACTCTCTATAAAAATAAATTAACTAGTGGGGTGGGTGGCATCGTGCCTTAAGGCAAATTGCTGGAACTTCCCGTACCGTAACGAAATGTTCGAGGAATACTGAATGTTTTCAAATAGATTATTATAAATATTGTAACATTGTCTAATATTTATAAGAAGTATATAAACTGAATTGCAAATTTAAAATTATTTGTTTAAGTCATATTAGAACTTTAGTCAGAATAAAAATAAAATCTGAATTATTTTCGATATACAAGAAAAACTAAAAAAAAAAAAATTATACTATTTTTTTTCCAGAATCAATTATTTTGTTAAGACAAGCAGAAAGTTCTTTGAATCATTTAAATCGGACGCTTAGTTCTCTCAAAAACTGCCATTTCTTACATATTTAGCTCCGTGTCTTCGAAATGGCTGGGCCTGCCTTTGCCAAAACGTAATAGACGCTTCTCCCAATCATTACTAATTGAATGTTTTTTAGATCATTCAAATCGGATACTCCGTTCTCTCAAAAAGTCGATTTCTATTTCCTGCACTCTTTGCTCCGTATCTCCGAAACGGCTAGACTGGCTTCGCCAAAAACTAATCAGCTCTTTTCCCTATCAATAGGAATCGAATGTTTTTTGAACCATTCAAATCGTTTGATCCGTGCGCCCGAAAACGTGACTGGAAATTTGTATCCATACATACATACACACACACACACATCCATTTTTTCTGAGGTATGCCAAAATGTTCAGAAACCTTCAAATCGTCGAAAAATGTAAAAATTTTCAATTTCGATTTTCGGCCCATTACAATAACTTACCCTACGGGAAGTTAAAAAAATGTCGTTTGGCGGTCAAAAATGTTTATTGGACATATGTACATCATATTATCAGATATTTTATAGAAATTTCAATAATGTGTACACATTTTGTATAAAATTTTTTGGGTTCCATACCAAGATTTTTAATTGCGGTACGGGAAGTTCCAGCAATATGCCTTAAGGCACGATGCCATGCACTCCACTAGTTTACATTTTTCAACTCTCAAACTTTTGGTACTGGAAGTTCCAGCAATTTGCCTTAAGACACGATGCCACAGACCACTAGTTCTTCTTAGTATTTACTACATTAACAGGCGCAACAGACTTATATATCTGACTTTTCTCGCATGTAAATTGACTTTCATCACTTTCATATTTAATCAATATTTAAGGCTTTCAATCTATTGTCAATCAGATAGTAATAGATGCAATGATATTCTTCACTTTTTACGACATATTTGTATTGGTCAGTTTATATTTATGTTACTTGGATTTTTTAGTTACTTCTCAAATAGTTGGAACCCTTGTTGTCAGCTTCTAAGGTGGTAGGTTTTTCTCGCACCTGCCTTTTCACTTTATATATGCCTCCATGCGTCGTGGCGCTCGTCGTACCCAGTATAAAGCAATTTTTAGTGCCTAATAGTCTTTTTATCCATATTCATGGCATATAATATAATATTATTCAAAGTTACGTGTATCTAAATTTTTGATTCAAACAAAAGCGCTGAAAATGTCGGTACAAGTGATAAATGTTAAAAAGAGAAAACGAAATGAAATCACTATGGTTTTACGAAAAAATGATGATTTGTTCCAAAAACTCAAACCACATTTGTTTAAAAAGAAGCATATAGAAGAAAAGATGAAATATCTCTTGGCTTATCAACAAATATTTTTTGTAGACATAAGTGTAAATACATGGTCCTGCAGAAACAATGGATGTATTTGAATTAAATTAATTAAATGATGACCATAACCAAAAGTTTGTGTATTGCTAAATGTTTACAATATAATAAAGTTAATTTGTAAAAAAGAATATTTTGTTTTTGATACAGAGGAGGCTATGTGTTCTATGAGGGTTTCTTTGCAATTTCTGCTCTGATTGCTTCTTTTGAGACATAGTTGGTTTGAGGACAGTTAGTATGCATATTTTTTACAAGATGACCAGTAGAAAAATATCACATGATGTCAGATCATGCGCGAGCGCTTGCCATATTTTGTGATTGGGTTGTGAAATAATTTGTTTGCGAAACATCTGATTTGTCATGATCTGTGGCCCTGTTCATTATTGACTGCTTGTTTGTTTTGGCTATTTTGCTGGCAACTGTAATATGTCTTTTGTAAAAATATTTTTAATTTTAGTAATAACCTCAAAGGTATATAGTAACCTCGAAAAACTCGAAGTTCCAGCAATTTTCCTTAAGGCACGATGCCATACATCACTAGTTATGAAACTTTTTTTGACCATAAGTATCATGGACCTATAGATCATAATAAAATATTACGGCTCTTTAATCAGCCATTTAATTTTAAAATTTTGATGCAAGTTTGAAAAAATATGATGATCGTGAAAACTTATGTCAAGAGTTTTGTGATGCGATAAGTCAAAATTTCACAAATTTAAAAACGTTATTATAACCATTGGCCGCGATTAGGTTTTCGAAAAGACCGGCCAAGACATTAGAAATGGCTTTGGAATTAGCTAAATAGTAAGTGTGCAGTCTACAATACTTCTAGTTGTGTAAAAAAGTTACCATTTATTTGAAATGCAAATTACAAATTATATATGTAATCGTGTCAGAACTTCCTTATAGCAGAAGCTTGATATTTAAATTTTTTTCATAAAATTTAACATGGCCATAAAGTTTGTGCACTAAACAATTCTACAAAAATTGGTTGAATTATATAAATTAAATAAAATTTGGAATAATAAGCTACAAATTCAGAAAATACATGCACTGTAATTAATATAATTACAAGTAATTTAAATGCTTTTATATTTTAATTAGAAATCATAATAGTTAGATTTAATTGAAGACGAAAACTATATGCTATATTTTTATTATTTTTATGCTTACAGAGCATCCGCTTATGATGTGTATGCACCGGGAGTTATGCAGACAGCTCAGCGTGCAGCCGCACCTGAAGAAAGGGGCCCCTCACCTGTCGGCCCACGACGAGCTTCTTTCCGGGTAGCTCCCGACGATACGCCCGGTCCTCAGAAAGATTCTTCGCCAAGTCCCGATGGAGGCATGGCGCCCTCATTATTTGTTGATGAAGACAGACGCACACGGAGGAGGGGCAGTCAACTGTATGTTTATAAATATTTCATTGTATTACCTAGATATTATTTTTAATGCTATAGAAATTATCAGGAATTAAGTAATATATTTTTTATGAATTTTGTGATGAAACTATTATATAATTATAAACTGATAATTTTGTGTATTAGTAGGGTAGCTTGTTTTCTCTAAATCATCATATCTTTGGATTGAGTGATTATATTCCTACAAAATAAAGATGGGCTGCAACTATTCCTCTACAACAGTTTTCTACAAATAATGTTTATTATTTTACAATTAAGCATTTGCTAGAAAAAGTGTCTTACCTCCTGTTCGAAGTTAGTTGTAACATCTACTGAAGCAAATAGTAACGACAAAAAATCACAATAATACCACTTATCATTTTTTTTGTTCATTTTTCATTTTTAACAAAATTGACACCTTGCTAAAAATAGCTGTATCACATTTTTCATGTAACACATCATACATGATATACTCTGGCCAATCTACTTCGTTTGTGTGTAATATTTACCAGAAGTTAGAAAATACTACTCTTCGGATTCAGTTGCCGAATTTATTAGTTCTGTTTACTTCAGTTTAATTTTGTTGATTTATTTTTGGCTTTTCCCTTCGCTTTTCATTTACTTATTTATATTTGTTTTTTATCGTTTTTTCCATATTTCTCTAAAAACTTTGTAAGTTCTTTTGCAGGAGTATCCATCTGTCGTTTTTCTTGATACAGCCTTTGCCCATTAAAACCAATGTGGTCTAATCTTTGATGGAAAATAAATTACTTGTAGATTGGAGCAACTCAGAGTTTACAACTTGATTTAATTTGTAATTTTTGTAGTCCAGGAAATAAAAGCAAACAAAAATTGTTGCGCATTATCAAAGATTACGAAATTTGGTGTTATTCAGATTAATTATTATTTAATATTATTTAATTAATTAGTTATTAATTCATTCAGATGTATAAAATTTGAAATTAGTCGATAAAAATAGTACAAAAGTATATTTCTAGATAACACATTTTTATATTACCTGTCAAAAATGACGGACCTGCATAATTCTGTATTTTGCATTGGTCTGCTGGACTGTGGCTATGACAAAAATAGTGTTCGTGCGTGACAGTTTAGTGGCTAGACAGGACGTTGTACATGTCCAAACGAGGCAGAAAAATATTTTAATATCGTTCGAGATCTTACTTATCTTTCTTACATTAAGCGCCTAGCTCTCCTACTTCAACCCATACGTTCAAATATTACGATGTAATTAGATTACCCGAAGAAACTAATCAGTTTTTTACGTCGTCAGTACCATAGATATGTAAACATCAGTACGAATCAGTACGAATCGAATTTTGTTTGAATTACATATTTAAATCGGGCTATTTGTCTTTTTCCATAACTTGGGCGAACAACTGTATTTGCTGTGTTATGAATTATCAAAATATTCTATGTATCTTTTTTAACTTCCCGTAGGGTAAGATATTGTAATCGTCCAAAATTCGAAATTGAAAATTTTTGCATTTCTCGATATTTTAAAGGTTTATGAACATTTTAGCATACCTCAGAAAAAATGGATGTGTGTGTGTATGTATGGATGAATACAATTTTTCGGTCACGTTTTCGGGCGCACGGATCAACCGATTTCAATGGTTCAAAAAAAAATCGATTCCTTTTGATAGGGAGATGTGCTGATTAGTTTTTGGTAAAAGCAGGTCCAGCAGTTACGGAGATAAAGAGCAAAGAGTGCAGAAAATAGAAATCGAGTTTTTGAGAGAACGGAGCATACGATTTGAAGGATCTGAAAAAGATTAGTAATGATTGGGAGAAGTGGTTATTATTTTTTGGCAAAGGCAGGCCCAGCCATTTCGAAGATACAGAGCTAAATGCGCGAAAATGGCAGTTTTTTAGGGAACTAAGCGTCCGATTTAAATGATTCAAATAAATTTCTGCTTGTTTTAACAAAATAATGAATTTTGGAAAAAAAAAATTTTGTTGCAATTTTTTTTTCTAAATTTTTTTTCTTAATTTTTTTTTTGCGAAAATAATTCAAATTTTATTTTTAGTTCTGATTAAAGTTGTAATATATTTTAGACAAATAATTTCAACTTTGCAATACAGTTTATATAATTCTTATAAATATTAGACAATGTTACAATATTTATAATAATCTATCTGAAAACATTCACTATTTCTCGAACATTTCGTTACGGTTCGGGAAGTTCCAGCAATTTGAATTAAGGCACGATGCCATATACCCCACTAGTTTTTTTTTTTTGAATTCGTGTAATTCGACCAAGTACTGTCTTATCATGTATGAAAGTATCAATAAATTGTATATTCAATTCAAAACATATATTGATGATATGACATATAAGTTAACTTTTCCAGAGACTTATAATTCGGTATTCTTTTTTTTACTTACGAAAGTTCATATTTTATTTTGCTCGAAGATAAACAGAATTTTGAAAGTAATTGGAACTATAATGGATTCTTTGCCAATCCAGATATATGCCGGGTGTTATGTATTCAATGAATTGTATAAAAGCTTTTAGCAGTTCTATTTTGCTTTCATTATTATGATGAATAATAAAAATGTCTGGCTTGTCAATAATAATAAACGACTCAAACTTCGTAGTCAATGCTAAACAACCGATGTGGGCGAAAAGCTATTACATTATAAGAGTCTGATAAGATTCTATCAATGATTCTGTCTGTTCACTAGACAGTGATAAACTATGATTATAATGATAATGGAAAGACAACGAACAAAAACCACGATGATATTTGAATTATGCACATATAAGTTTAAGTTATATGCACATTTAATATGCGGTATAATTCATTTTCTAAATTAAACCTAGGTTCTAGGTATATTTCAATAAGTGAATATTAAAACTAAATAAATACAACAATAAACTAGTGGGGTGTATGGCATCGTGCCTTAAGGCAAATTGCTGGAACTTCCCGTACCGTAACGAAATGTTCGAGGAATACTGAATGTTTTCAAATAGATTATTATAAATATTGTAACATTGTCTAATATTTATAAGAATTATATAAACTGAATTGCAAATTTAAAATTATTTGTTTAAATTATATTAGAACCTAAATCAGAATTACGTTTAAGATCTGAATTATTTTCGATATACAAAAAAAATCTATTTTCTGCACTCTTTGCTTCGTATCTCCGAAACGGCTGGACCTGTCTTTTCCAAAAACTATTCAGCGCATCTTCCTATTAATAGGAATCGAATGTTTTTTGCACCATTCAAATATCCATACATACATACACACACACATCCATTTTTCCTGAGGTATGCCAAAATGTTCAGAAACCTTCAAAATGTGAAGAAATGTGAAAAATTTCAATTTCGATTTTTGGACGGTTACAATAACTTACCCTACGAAAAGTTAATAAATATAAATATTTGGAAACGAAGTGATATTAATTTACTCCTGATCCCCAGAAAAAAACTGAAATGTAAACAAAATAAAATATATATAAAAATATATAAAAAATATAAAATATGTATAAAATATATGTATTTTTATTTGAAAATAGCCCTTCTGGTCACAGCTATGCAAAGAGTATATATCTAATAAGCTTTAAAGAGAAAAATAGTATTAGTATTGTATTACGTCACATAATGTGATAATTTATATATGACCTATAATATATATATATATATATATATATATATATATATAATTGTTATATACTTTCTTGGCTATTTTATTGAAACATTTTATGGTGATAGAGATTTCTTGGCCTTAATAAACATTTCTTTTTTTTTCTAAATAGTTAAATGTCAATACTTATTCATGAAGTCGATTACTTACTCATAACACCAAGTTTATGCTACTTGCCCTAAGGCATAAGGCTCCTTTCAACTAGATAAATTTCATCTTAATTTCATTTCTAACATAAATTATAGTACATGAAACTAATCTGTCGATTTTTTCTGCTCTCAATATTTTTGCATCTAGTTGGTGTGATTTCATAGGTTGTTTGTTGTTTTTTTTTACAAAGTATGCATTGTTTTTAATTCAGTTTTATCTATTATATATTTTATCGCTTTATAAACATATTTGTTTTCCATGTTGGGGTCACGTCGACGTTTATCACTTTGTACACATTGCAAGCAAGAATATATCAGTTTCTAAATATAAAATGTCATTGGAAATTACGAGATGTCAAATTGAAAATTTACTAAATGGTAATAACGAAACAAAGCTGTGACTGTGTTGTGCTATAAATATTCCAAAATGTTATACCAGTTTATCATAATATCTTTAATAGCATCATGTTATGGAAATATCATACGAGTACAATTACATAAAGTTAAAAGTGTTCGTACCCAATTGCAAGAACTTGGAAAGAAAATAGAGCAGTTACCATTTAGGTATGATCCTGAAAGTATTCCTGAGCCATTATCAAATTACCTAGATGCTCAGTATTATGGACGTATTACCATTGGTAATCCTCCGCAAGCATTCAATGTTAATTTTGACACAGGATCGTCAGACCTATGGATTCCGTCCCAACAGTGCCAAGTCGCAAATGTCGCTTGTTTAGTGCATAATAAATATGACAGCTCAAAATCTTCCACATACATTAAAAACGGTACCAATTGTGCTATTGAATATGAATCTGGAAGTGTTACTGGATTTTTATCTACTGACACAGTCAATATAGGTGGATTAGATATTGTAAATCAAACGTTTACTGAAGCTACGGTTGAACCAGGATTAGCTTTTGTTACCGCAAAATTTGACGGTATCCTCGGATTGGGATACAGTTCACTTTCTATCGATGGTGTAGTTCCAGTGTTTTATAATATGTTTCAACAAGGATTGATTGAAAACCCGATTTTTTCTTTTTATCTCAACCGCGATCCTACCGCTTCAATTGCCGGCGAAATTTTACTGGGTGGATCTGATCCAGACCATTACAGTGGCGAATTTACATATTTGCCTGTGACCAAAACAGATTTTTGGCAATTTAAAATGGATTTGGTTAAAGTTGGAAATCAGTCATTTTGTGTTGGTGGATGTGAGGCCATTGCAGATACTGGCACGAGACTTTTTGTTGGACCTAAGGAAGACATGCAATTATTAAATAACTTTATAGGCGCTACCCCAATAATGGGAGGTGAATATATGATCGATTGTCGCAATATGACAAAATTACCAGTAATTGAATTCATTTTAAATGGAAAAAGTTTCAAATTAGAAAAAACTGATTATATTATACGAGAAATTCGCAATCAAAAAGTGATTTGTTTGTCAGGATTTATGGGTGTAGACTTACCTTCTGAAAATGGGCTCTTATGGATTCTCGGTGATATTTTTATTGGCAAATTTTATACAACATTTGATATGGGACGTAATCGGCTAGGTTTTGCTCTAGCTAAATGATATATATATATATATATATATATATATATATATGCTGAATTGGATTACATATTTTTATATATATTGTACTAGAATTATAAACAACATACAAATTTGTTACTTAAAACAGTTATAGTCCACATAAACAAATTGGAAATAAAATATTCAAGAAATATCTGTTTTACTATTTTTACGTATGCGAATAAAAACAACATTATGTGTGTTTTCAAGATTGATTGATTAATGATCACTAATATATTCACTATAATTATTAGAATGTTATTTCATGCCGTGTATTTATTTATTTTATTTTAATTTAAACTGATGATAGTTTACGTAATCTCGATGTGTTGAGTAATATCATATGGAATGTAGACTTAAGATTATTCTGCAGAAAATATTAGAACTAACACTTATTTATGATATTTGCACTTTTTTCATCATGAAACATCGATATTTTTTTGGTAGTATTTAGAATGTCTAAATCGGATGCCAATTAATTGATTGAGCGTCCGGGCATGATGGTATTTGGTTTAGATATGACTTATTCGAGAGTGGTTGTTTTTGCTTCAGTCGTTCTTTCCTGTGTTCAGAATTAATATTTGATTTGAAATATTAGTTTATTTTACTCGTATTATTTGTCAATATAAAACATTTTTAAAAACTTGTACATGTATTATAATTAGTTATGTACTCTCACGTTTTATGTTATCGTGTAGATAGGGTAGGGCGGGAAACAAAGGTCCAATTTGATTTTGAGCAAATATATTGTGTAAACGAAACCAATCAAATCACCAAAATAACACATATGTTCAATAAAAATCCCAGTTAATTCACTATTTCAAAAATGTTGTTTTTAGCTGTTTTTCAAAAATTTGTAACCAGGTTCTATTTGTCTCATAGGCGGGGTAAATTAAGTCGATCAGGAGGTAAACCGGTTTAATGTCTTGTTTTTAATTTCGAAGCGTTTTCACAAAATAATAGCTACATTATTCAATTAATGCAAAATTTAAATTTCATGGGTGCTGAGATAAAACTATAATTAACTTTGACTTGATATTTTATCAGAAATATTCATCGACAGAGTTGGAATAACTATAATTATTTATTTTTTCTCTTGTAAACTAGCTTATTTAAACTTAATTTAATTTTTATTTGCAATTTTTTATTTTTTACACCTTTTCCAGAATGAAGTTTAGTTTGACTTTTTTATCCCATCCAGGTGTAAGCTTTTATAGAGGTTATATAAGAAACTATTGACTCTAAAAATTAACAATACATCTTATAAGACGTATACTTAAAAATTAAATTAAGGTCTGGAGAACTGAGTAACTGCGCAATCAAAACAAATCAAACGCAAAAATATACTTTTGTTATGGATTTTTAAACATAGCTGTTTTTCTCTTAGCCGTTTATGGTACTTTGAAAATAAAGCCGGCCACAAACAATGCTGTATAATTGCGCCACCTGTGACTTGAACATGTATTCCGTAGCGTCTGTGGGATGTTTTTGACGTAACTTGACAGACTGGTACAAGCAAGTAGGCATGAGCATTTTTCGATTATTTTAATTGCGCAATTATTCAAGTCGGCAAGTTCATTCGTGTGTGGTAGCACATGTCCCATTTTTGGTTTATTTTGTAGCGAATACATAACTCGAAGTTATAAACACTTGAAAGTATTTAAATTAGCCCTGTGAATCATTTCAATTCTCCTCTGATGCTGTGAATATATGAATTAATGAAAAAAATATATTTCCAGGTTATGTTTTGACGTTTCTTATTTGACATGCTTGATATGCATGTGCAAATACTTAACATAAATTCGAGCCATCTGTGGGCACTGTGAAAATACGCTTGGTTGCGCATTCATTCAATTGCACATGTATACAGTTACCTATGTGGCCAGCTTAAGATAAAATAAACTAAAAAAACTGTTCCATAATTCTTGGATTGTTCTATATTTTATAGGGTAGAGCAGGGCCTAAAGGTCCACGGGTACACATGTTCATCAATATTAACTCAAGTCATTGTCTCACTTAAAAACAAGTGAAATATCATATTTTTAATAAGACTACTTCATAGTAGAGGGCAATAAATATTTTATAGTAGATATGTACCACATATCGCCATATAGAGCGACATTATTTCTCAATTCAACTCAAAAACATATATTTTATTAAGTATATATATACATAACATTCCACATTTTTTTCAGTTGAACATTTTACCTGAAGGTATTGTGTCCAGCATATCTGTTGTTAAAAACAATAATAATTATTTAAAATATACTTTATATGACTAAAACAAGAAAAGGTTTAATAATTTTTCCAAAAAACACACAACAATAAAAATACATAAGCAAAAATGGTGCCGCTAAGGTATACATTGGGATCACCCCAATGATAACATAGAAGCCTTAGGCCAATATACACCAGAAATATTTTGGTGTAGCAAGCACGCCATGCCAAACTCTGCATTTGAGATGAAAGTTCTCCGTGAGCTTCTTTATTTTCGAGTACTGTCGGTACGTCAGTCTGTTCATGTTTCTAGAAGAGTAATAGTGTCGCGTCAGTGGGTCTCTTGATTTGCTAAGTACTTGTCGTAAAGCTTTGTTTTGTACAGTCTGTAGCCTCCGTAGGTTAGTCTTTGCTGCCGCGTTGCATGCTGGAGCGCCGAACAATATTATTGGTCGCATTTATTATATTACATACATTATTCGTCAAGTAAAGTGTCCGCTTGTTCTTCACGTTCAGCGGAACTAAGAGATATTAAAAACAAACTAAAAAAATTATTGATATAAAAAAATGTTCTATTTTCCTGTGAAATAATGTTATTTTTTATATTATTTTATACACAAAACTGATTAAATTCTTATAAATAAATACTCACCACGTATTTTCGTAAAGATTAAAAATTTTCTAAAGTTAAACGTAAACGTAGAGCTAATGAGAATAGCCAAATATATATCATGATTGATGTTCGATTTTATGAATGGATCATTGTAGCGCATTATGAGTGTTGTCTATTGTTTAATTTAGGGTGCATTCGACTTGGACGCTTACGCGCTGTGAGCGCGCCGTGAGCGCGCTTTCATCGTTCGACTTGGCGCTGTGAGCGTGGCATAAGCACGCTCGTAGCACCATCGTAGGATGCTCGTAGCACATATTTTGCGCTCACATACGCTCACGCCACAGAGGTAGGGCAGCGTGAGCGTGAGCGTCAGTTGTTTTTACTATCTGTCATTTCATTTGTTTATTAATTGTCAAATTCTTTATAATTCCGCAAAAATGGCAAGCTGTAGATCACAATTTTTTTTAATATTAATATTGATATTAATTAATTTTAAATTTAATTAATTTTAAATAATTTTAAATTTCAATTTTAATATTACTATTAATTAAGCATAAGCTGGCCAAATTTCATTTATTTATTAATTGTTAAATTCTATATAATCCCGCAAAAATGCCAAGTTGTATATCACATTTATTTTTTAATATTAATATTAATATTAAATAATTTTAAATTTTAATTTTAATATTACTATTAATTAAGCATAAGCTAACCAAATTTCATTTATTCATTAATTGTTAAATTTTTTATAATCCCGCAAAAATGCCAAGTTGTATATCACATTTATTTTTTAATATTAATATTAATATTAATTAATTTTAAATTTAATTAATTTTAAATAATTTTAAATTTTAATTTTAATATTAATATGAATTAAGCATAAGCAAACCAAATTTCATTTATTTATTAATTGTTAAATTCTTTATAATCCCGCTGAATGATCCAGAAAGTAATAAAATTTACACAATTACCGTTACCGCCAGTTGCCGCCATTTTGATGCTTATTGACGCTCACAGTATCCAAAACGAACGGAATTTAGTTATCGATTCTAAGCGCTTATCGGCCAAGTCGAACGCTAAAAATTCGTGCTTATAAGCGTGAGCGCTCACAGCGCGTAAGCGTCCAAGTCGAACGCACCCTTAGATACTTTATCAGTTTGACACGTGTAAGTTTATCATCAATAAAAATCATATTTCATTAAACAAAACAATAAATTGAATATATAATATTTATTAAAATAAAAATATGATCCATTAAAATATTCAACATTTAATATTAAATATTTTAATGGATCACATAGCTACATGGATGGCTAATAGAAATTCGTATTTTTGATTGTCTATAATAAATAAATAAATAAGCTAAACAAAAAAATAAATTGATTATTTAAACTTGTATTGAATATTCTAAATTAGTTCTTTCCCCAAAAGCAATCGTTTTGTCAACACAAATAGAAAGTTTTTTAAATCATTCAATTCGAATGCTTAGTTCTCTCATATATTGACGTTTTTGGCACCTTTTGCCTCGTATCTTTGGTATGGCTGGACCTGCCTTTATCAAAAACTAATCAGAACATCTCCCTATCAATACGAATTGTTTAATTCTTCAAATCGGTTCATCCATACGCCCGAAATCGTCTACGGAAAGTTAAAAAATGGATCTTGTGCTCCGCTCTACTCTATATTTAATTTGGTCAGAATTCAAAGCGTTTGAAGTGGATCGTTTTTCATGTATTTTAATATTTGCAGGCCTGACATTGCTGCGTTGCGAGATCGCGGTGCTTTGCCGCCGCCTACGCCATGGTCGGCGTCTGCGCTGGAAGATATGGAAGCCCCTCGACGGCAAGCGTCCGTTGACGGTGAAGCTATCAAGATTGTGATCCATGACGTTGATTCGGGGCCGACAATTCCGGTTGCGGCAGCCGCCAAACGGAGAGTTGTCTTAAGGCGAGACCCAGCGGACAAAACACATCGTAGTAAGTTAACGTCGATATTATATATTTCATTTGCTCTATGATTATATTATTTACTAGTGGTGCATGGCATTGTACATTATGATAAATTTCTTTTATTTCCGAAATATTCAAAGAATAAAAATAATCAGTAACCAATCAAAATTGATCAATGATTAATAACAATTCTTTTGTTGTGTTCAAATATATATCATAACTACTATAAATTGTATAGTTTGTATTTTAAAGTTCAAATGTAATATAAGTCTTATATTTGGATGACAAACTGTATGTGTTTACTATTTTGCAATTGAATTGTAAAGTTAAATTTATTTATTTTAACTGTATGTAAAACTTTAGACCTTACAAAATTTTGAAGTTTAAAGAAAATTTTAAAAAACATCAAAAATTAAAAAAAAAACAAAAAATTAGATTTGTTAGAAACTTTGAAACCGCCGAATCCCTGCTTTTCAAAAAGTAATTATTTTTTCGCACTGTTAACATCAGCAATATGATTTTTGAATCATTCTAATTAAATATTCCGTTCTCTCTAAAACTGATATTTAGGTGGAAGTCCCCGAGTGGCGGACACCTATAAGGTTATTCATAAATAAATCAAAAAATATTTTACGAAATGTTCATTAAATTATGACTTATGTTAGATAACAAAGTTAGAAATCAAACTAAATTAACAAAAACGCAACCTTTGCTAAAAAATAATTAATACTATTAATCAAACTTTGGTAACAAAAAATTTAATTTTACAAAGTGGCTTCTAGTACCGAACATTTCAAAATAACCAGTATTGAACACATAAACAGCTATCTCTACACTCTGGAGTGTCTGCACATGTGTGTTTGACGAAAATTCTTAGATATTGCAAAAAAAAAAATTACTATTCATCTACCCTTTTGTCTGGCCCACACCGATGCCTTCAGCTGGAGCATTCATCATAAGATTTTCATTCTTTGACTAGGAAATACGAAGTATGGGGGCATGTTATGACCGTTAGCACTCAGACAGAACAAAATTTAATAATTGGAATAAATTACGTAAATTCTCACAAAAAATGTCAATATGTTTACTGTCCGGCACTAAGGGACGACTTAGTGTCCGGTGCTGAGGGACTGACATTTTCGTTCATTTGGCGGCAGCTACTAAAATTGGTTAAAAAATTTAATAATATTTTACTATTTTACGGATAACAATCAAGTACAACTTTTATCTTTCCATACCACTCAAATATAAATGCATAAATATGCTAGAATTACTTCCATTGATATATAGGTAACGCCGTGATTTTGCGCCTAAAACAGGAAAAGGTTGCTCTCGCCGTGGCCGTGTGCGTCACAGGCGAGGCTTGGCACGTGATCATGTACCTGTGTGCCCCCCATGCTCCTTGCACTTGTATTTTGAAATGAAAAGATTTATACTCGCTTAAATAATACGTATTAAACAGAGTGTCCGATGTTTGGGCCGTCCGGCGTCAGGAAACTTTCCCCTATGCATTTTTGCTCCATATCTCAAAAATGGCTGGACCTGTCTTTGCCAAAAACTAATGAACATGAGTTATAGCATCTAGTCTTCTCGTAAATATGGGTAAAGAAGCAATCATGAATTACAATATAATAATATTTCTTGGTCTGTCTAACAGTAGAATTGAGCTAATTACAGTATTTTGTATACTACTAAACTAAAACTAAAAGTTTTGAACGCCATTATTATTTTACTATATGTAGTTACAAGGAAAGCATCTATGTTATTTGCATGAAATATTTCTTAATTTGTAGTAGTGAATATTTTTAGAATAAATTGGTAACATAAAATTTTGAAAGTGTTCTAATTTTAGATAAATTGTGACATTTAGAATAATTGTTTTAAAAACCAATACACAACTTCATAACTATTTTATTTTAAAATGTTATAATAAATTCAATTAACTAGTTGGTTTGGTATTTAGCCTTGAGGCAAGTTACATGAACTTCCCGATATGTTTAAATAATCGACTTAATCAATAAAAAATAAATTAATTTAGGAGTCATTAAAAGTATTCCGAGTGGATTTATTACACATAATTGAAACGAACGAACACTTTGACTCGGAGTATTTTCTAAAAGCAAATTTTATATAATTGAATCAGTTTTCAGGACTTTAATGGTTTATTATGTTCAAGACCAAGTACTCTATCATTATACCAAGTAAATAGTCTAATTTTAATTTTAACAAATCTCAAAAGAACTACTCATTTTATCAAACTTTGATGAATTTTTAAAATCAAACTATTTGTCGTAAGGCCGTAATATTTCAGTAAGTTCTATAAGACTATGGTATATATCACTAAAAAAAATTCATAAAAATCGGCTTAATTTTTTTTTCAACAGTTAATTACAAGAAAACGGCTCGGTAGATTTTCACCTAAAATTAATCAGTATCATTCCCAACTAATATCTTTCAAACAGTTTTTGATTTTTTAAAATCGGTTCGGTAGGATAAGCTTAAATGTGTACGAAAAGTTTAACACTTTTTTTCAAATTATAAAGAAACGGCTTGGCAGATCGTCGCACAAAACTGAAAAACGATAGTCCTCACCGAAATACATCAAATGGCTTATGAATTTCTGAAATCGGTTAAGGCGTTTTTGAGAAAACGTCGATAAAAGATTTCATTTTGACAAATGTCAATAAAACGTTACCAATTTTTGCAAACTTTGACGAATTTTTAAAGCTAAACGAGTTGTCGTAGGGCCGTAATATTTTAGTATGACCTAGAAAACTATGGTATCTACCGTCAAAAAAAAAATCATAAAAATCGTCGAAATTTTATTTTTAAAAACTTTATTACAAGAAAACGGTCCGGCCGATCTTTACCAAAAATTAATCAGCACGATTCCCAACTAATATCTATCGAATGGTTTTTGAATTTTCAGAATCGATTCAGAATTGCAGGCTAAAACGTGGACAAAAAATTTTTCACTTTTCTGCAATTTACAAAGAAACGGCCCGGCCGATCGCCGCATAAACGATAGTCCTCATCAAGATACATCGAATGGCTTTTAAATTTTTGAAATCGGTCCAGCCGTTTTGGAGAAAACGTCGATTTACGGCAAAAAATCTGTTCACATACACACACACACACATACTTTTTCCAAATTTGGTCTCATTCGATTCAGAATGGCTTGAAACGTCGAGAAAACATAAAATTAGCGAATCGGATTTTTTTATGAAAACATAAACTTCTCCTTCGGGAAGTTAAAAAATTACATATGTTACATATGTTATTACGACATTCTTTTTTTCAATTGTTTACTTAATGCATTTAATAATTTATTCCATATTTAATGATAAAAAATTATTTTGAAGTCTCAATAAAAATGTTTAAACGTGGGGTTCAACAGGGCATCGAAATTTTTGAATACTTTCAATTCTGACTAGAATGTCATCTATAATATTTATAAATGACATTATCTATTAGTACTCATTTCTATAATATCTATTTCACATGACCTTTTAAAATAGCTTTTCTTTGAAATCGTGTGTATATTAATGAAAATACTTTAAAAATAATAAATAAAATGCATCATTTTTCGGATGTTTGCATCTCGTACAATAAGTTCAGTATATTGAGGAGATTCAATTGAATTTTGCATTGTATTATTAAATCTTTCTATTTTATTAGATGGAATAAATACGTGCAAACACCATATCAATACTCACATTCAAATATATTACTCATTTTCGTTTAAATTATTATGTTCACCCAAAATTATGCAGGAGAGGAGATTTAGGCCGATCGTGAGTTGAGATTTTTCTTCTAATTTAAGTGTTTTAAATTTTGTAGATATCTGGGAATCAGATCGAATTTAGAAAATGATTACAAATACATTGACGCCAAATGGTTTTCAACTCGTAGATTGAGCAGTGCACGAAAATTTAAAATTTATTTCTTATGACATGATCTGCGATTTATTAATCATTATATCATATTAAAAGATCTACTTTAAATAAATTTTTGTTACAATTTATTCAAGAAACAATGGGAAATTTGTGCTGCTGTAGTTGGTTGCCATGCATTGTCGATATTATATTAAGCTTTTTTTTCATAAGCAAGTTGTAAATTCACAATTTAAAACATAAAACTAGTGACGTATGGCTTCGTGCCTTAAGGCAAATTGTTGAAACCTCCCGTACCAGAAATAAATATTCAAGAAAAAAACAGTAATCAATAAATATTAATTTACTATTAATAACAATTGTTTTAACACGTTGCCGCACACTTTTAATTTGACGATCGTGCTTAGAAACACACTTTTTTTAATTGTTTATGATTGCCAGATAAAATCGAGTGTAAGTTGTATGTTTGGAAGCGAAAATGATTAACTTTTATTAGATTATTAATTATTAATTATTAATAATTAGTAATATGTATTTGCGGCAACGTGTTAAACATTTTCAAAGTGATAATACTATATATTGTATCGCTCATATTATATAGCGACGATCTTGTCCAATGATCATTTTTTACCGCAGAATTGTATTTTTTTTTACTTTTTCCTGTGTATCGCCGAAACTGTTAGTATAATTTTTTAAATTTTATTTGATTTACGTTATTATATAAAGAGATCAAGCAATTTGTAATAGGTAATTTTTTAAAGTTTTTAAAGTTTTTAAATTTTTTAAAGGTCTCTGCAAAAATGTAATCAAAATTTTATTTTGTCAATATAATCAAAATGTTTTTCGAATCATTCAAATCGGACGCTCCATTTTTTCAAAAACTGAATTACCGTTTTTGACACTTTTTATCCCATATCTTCGAAACTGCTGGACACTTCTTCGCCAAAAACTAATCAGCGCATCTTCCCATCAATAAAAATCGAATGTGTTTTAAATCATTCACATCGGTTGATTATTGCCCCCGAAATTGTGGACGAAAAATTATATCCAAACAAACACACACCCATACATCCATTTTTTCTGAGATAAGCCAAAATGTTCAGAAACCTTTGAAATGTAAAGATATGCAAAACT